CTGAAAAAAGATGCCCACTGGATCCCACTGGACCCCCCTACCCTCAGAGGGTTGAGGGATGTTGAGGGGTTAGGAGTTATATAGGAAATAATGGAACAGAACATGGAAACTACTATTTAGGCTTTCGGGGTTAGGGTATTGGGATAATGGAAAAGACAATGGAGACTACTATAGTATATTGGGGTTACATTGGGGTTATGGCATCTGGGCGTCCCAACTCGAGGTCGCATCTAACCAGCCGCATAATGGCGTGAGACACCTCGTCGGATTCGTAGATACCCTCCCGGTAACTAACATGGAAACCCATAAAGGGTTCTATAAAGATTACAATCCTTTTAATGGGGGGGCTATGTGGGTTTCCATGTTAGTTTGGGGGAGTGTAAAATCTTCAAACCTCAGATTCGTCTACTCCCGAATAAGGCGTCCAAATACCCTTTTAATTGCCGAGGATGTCACAACCCTCAATATGACCCAAATATACTATAGTAGTTTCCATTGTCATTTTCCATTATCCAAATATGACCCCAATATATTATTGTAGTTTCCATTTTCTTTTCCATTATCCCAATATAACCCCAATATATTCCCGATGATGCAGCCTTTTAGGCATGAAGTGGTTTTGGGCTAGGTCCAAGACCTTCAAAGGGTTTAGGGTTTAGGGGTTGTATTGGGAATAATGGAAAAGAAAACGGAAATTACTACAGTTTAGGAGGACCCCCGGCCCTGTAATAGTGGTATAATAGGAATATAAGAGGACCCTAGTATAATCCTTGTTATCCCTTATTGTCACTATTACAGGGTGGGGGTCCACCTAAACTATAGTATACTGGGATAATGGAAAAAGTATGGCCTCCGTGGGTTTACCAACCATTGTCATGGCAGTATCATCTTGACCAAGAGCAGTAGCAATCCCCCCCCAAAAAAGTTCACATGGCAGCATTGCCTTACCTAGACCTCTATACCCTACTCCTTTTTCAGGTACCTAATTTCGCAAATACGATACTAGACATAAAGTTAGGGTAATTATCCTAACACAAGGTACTGTATAGGGGTCTAGGTACCACCCGCTGTATATATATATATATGTATATATATACACAAAAACACCCTATAATCCCTATAGAACCACCATAAAATCCTCTATATAATCCCTATGGCTTCCATTTTCTTTTCCATTCTCCCGTAAACCCTAAACCTACCCGTCTGAACCCAGTTGATGGTAGCCTGCAGCCTCGGCCATGCCGAAGTTGTCCGCAGTCTGGCATCTTGGATGTCTTCCCCTAAGGGTCCAAGGACCCAAATAATAGGGTTTTAGGGCCCAAATACCACTAATATCATAGCATTTGGGCCCTAAAACCCTATTATTTGGGTCCTTGGACCCTTAGGGTTCTTCTTCAGAGCCCTACTTCATGTACAGATTGGTAGTTTTCCAAAATAAGGGGACGCTAATATAGACCCCAAAATGCCATAGTCCCTATTATATGGGGACCCCCGAAAACGGCCCCCCTAATTTTTGGGAAAGCCCCAGTTGGGTATCCTAAAACAGGAGTACGCAGGGTATAGAAGTCTAGGTTGGGATCCAAGTGTACAGATAATCTCTACTTTGGGTCCTACAAGCTATAGCTCTTGCCTACTGTGGGCCGTATGGATCCCTAGGGGAAATCCACGTGCTTCAAAGTTTCGGTTGGTAGACTTTGGGCAAATTAAGCCTAAACCCTAATCAGTGGATTCAGGTGTTTGCGACTTAGAAGCTTCGGCCCAGGGCTTGGGGACACGGGCTCGCATTAAGACGTCGAAATCTATATGATCCTTAAACACCCATACAATCCTTATATAATCCACATATAATCCCTATATCCCCCTACACAATCCTTATATGCTCCCCATATGCGCCTATGACATCCCTGTTCATCCTGCCTGTTTGAGGGGCTAATCCACGACTTGTATTCTCACAAAATGTGTCACTTTCATGTCCGTTTTCAAATGCCGAGACCCCTCCTACAGGATCCAAAATCCCTTAGTATCCCCAATGTCGTAATGGGTTCATAATGGGGGGGGTCCATGTTTCGGATCCTTTAGGGGTCTGGGTGGGTGTCTTGAGGAGTCTGCGAAGCATTTTCGTTTTCAAGGGTATGTACGCCTATATTAGTGATGCCAGGAAATTGCTGATGGATCCTTGTTTGGGGTTATTTGAGGTCATATAGGGATTAGGGTTTTGCCTAGCAAGCTGATTGCCTGAGGTGGAAGCTTCTGCTCCTATTGATGAGCCTGATCAGCATGGGCCTCCCAGCATGATTTGGTGGTGTTTCGGGTGGATCATCTTTCTGGGATTGTAGTATGTTGGACCTTGAAGTTTGGAATAGCCGTTTCTGCAGTTTTCTCCCTAAAGCATAATGAAGCATGCGCCCTTCACGGCTGGCTAGAACTAAGGAAGACCTCGATCCAGGCCGCGGCTGGCGAAGGACATTTGGAGGCCACGGGTATCTTTGGGAAGTTATAGGTTCAGGTTTCGGGGATTAAGATTGAGTCTCTTGGGATTAAGGGTTTGGGGTCATGGGTTTATAGGGCATAGGGTTCGGACATCGCCTTTTTTGGGAAGCTGGGCTTAGCCTTGCAGAAACCAACAGTCAAACCCATGTCGGGCACTATGCTAAGGGACTGTAGTCTTCGTAGGGCACCTCTTTGGAATTTCATGCATAATTTAGGAGGGTAGGTTTGTAGGCCAGATGGGGGTAGGTAAGGGGCTTAGGGTTTTCCGGGTGTCGGGCCTTATTGCCAAAGTCAAGGAAAGTTGGAAGGGGTCAAGAACCGAAAGCTGCAAAGGCCGACCTTGCCACGTCTTGAGCTTCATCAGAAACAATTGTAGGCACCGGTTCCCAGGACTGAATAATCACAATACGTAGTAAGAAAGATAGAAATATACTAATCATAGTAGTTAGAATAGAAGTATTCATAATTGTAGTACTTAGAGTAGTAATAGTAATAGTAATAGTAATCGTAATAGTAATAAGCACTTCAAACAATGACACTCGGCAACGTAATGACCACTTGCGCAACCTGAAATCCTTCACGACATTTTTCAGCTCCAGCAAAATTTGCAATCCTCATCATGCCAACCACTTTGCCAGGTTGTGCGGTATCTCTGTGAGCAAGGCGCACAAGACATGCTTGACCGACGGGCTTAAGCTGGCCTGTCTTACTCATGCTTAGGTCTTCATGGGAGATTTGCTTGTAGGATTATTGTGGGGGTTATGTGAAGACTGCTTTAGCGATCCATTCCCATATTCCCAACTAAGCAAGCTTGCTGTCTTGCTCTCACTTGTTCTTAACCATCACGCGTTATTGACGTTGACCTCGTCTGGCATGAAGCTCTGTGCTGGAAAAACGGGCTAGGCCCGGATTGAAAGGGTGTCACCAATGGGACGGGGACAAGGCACGAGGGCATCTTCCCATCTGTTTGAAGTGCTCTACATGCTCAGGCTACAGGACGGACGTAAACGGTTGCTGATGTTGTTCTGTGCTGCAAGGTTCTCTGAATCTTGATATCGCTGAAGCGAAGCCGCTAGACATGACCTCCCACCCTTGGGTATGATTGAATTTCGAGCTCTAATAGCTGAGCTTCGATCCGTAGAGCACAAGTCAGGCGCTGACAAGGAGACGTTTGACCAAAAGGGTCGAACTCCTCTCCACAGAGCCGTGGACGCTGGACGCCTGGATGTGGCGCGCTTCCTGCTAGAGGCTCGTGCTCGTAAAGCCTTTTTGCTGTGCCATGAAGTGTTCTCGGATTCTTACTACTATTATTACCATTATTACCATGCTTACTGTGATTACTATCATTGCTATTATTGCTACTATTGCTATTATTACTATAACTACTATTTGTTGCAGCCTCTTTGGTTTCCGCCAAGAAGCATCAGAATTTATGAACTTTAGCTTGCAGCTTAGGATCTTTGGCAATCAGTATCTTGGGGTTATATAGGGAGAATGGACAAGAAAATGGAAACTACTATTTCAACCTTGCAGGATTTCATAGCCTCCCTGCCCTTTCATCAGTGAAAGCAGCGTACTCCCTCCCCATATTGAATATGTCCGATATAGCAAATATATGCAAATATCATGATTCTCATCTAATCAGGCTTCCAAGGTCCGACCCATGGGTGCTTGAGATGGACCCCCACAAGTTTCCTGCATCCTAACTTTGCGCTTTCGATTGGGCCTATCAGGTTTTATAGAGGTATACAATAGGTCACAAGGTCCCTAAGGCCCATAATCTCGACCTTAAAAGGATCTATGCCAGGGTTTAGGGATTAGGGTTTAGGGTTTAGGAAGTGCCCTTGGTCCATTTTCAACAGCCGCCGAGCGACTTGGATGCTGAGAGGCGAGGGCGGACAAAGATCAGCCCGATCACCAGGGAAGGACTGGTCTGGGTTGCTGTTAAGGAACTTAAAGTAATATAGTAATTAAAATGGTTTCCCCAATCTAGTAGTTTAGAAACTTAGTGCCTTAAGAGCAACCTTGTTGTTGTAGGATTTCGGGTTCAGGGCTTATGGTTTACGGTTGGTATCATGGAGAATTGCCTGAACACAACTTGTACAATGGCATGGAACCTGGGCTTACGTGAGCGCTTATGGGGATCAATATGTCGGCGCCATAATAGTTAGAACGGGCCTTTGATTTCTTTGGTCATGGGTATGTATCCAGCTTCTACAGTGCAGGGACTTTTCCTAATTTGTTGATTGAAACCCTGATTAATGATGTGCTTCGTCTAGGTCCTTATGATGAGGACGGACAGGATCTGCGGTGCATAGGCTAGACTATTCTTTAAATTCTTGAGAAACTCTGTCGACATGATATCTATGTCTAGGGTTGAGCTGTCTTGAGGTTTCTTTGATTGAGACTCAAATCTACGGAGTTAGCACCACAAGAGATGCATTACTCAATCTGGAGTTCTGGCTATCCAACCCTTACAATAAGGAATCCGTTCGAGCCACTATATGATGTTTAAAGGATCCTCATTAGGGGTTGGGTTTGCCAAGATCTTCTTAGGGAGATATAGCAGGGTTTGGCCCTAGAAACTCGGCAAACATATTGCACACATTTGACAAGCATGTCGCGGGTTGACGGACCGAGCTTCCGAGTGATGATTACATTGGGGCCCTCTTACATTCCTATTCTACCACTATTACAGGGCAGGGTGGGGGGGCCCACCGAGCAACAAGCAGGTCCGTCACTTCGCTGCGATTTGAGAGTAGCCAGATTCCAGATCGTAAGTATAATTTTATTCCTTGACTGCTAGACTTTGGGGAAATTATTCTTGGGCTATTCGCAAGTCATAGCCTCTTAAGCAGGACTCCAATGCACGACGCCGTCCTTGCCGGGCAAGCACCGCTGGTCAGGTTGCTGAGTGAGGCAGGCGCAGACAAGCACAAACGAGACGCGCCTCGGGCTGTAGAATCGAAGTCTGCATCATACTAGGGTTTCATAAGGGTTTCTGGGATTCTTGGGGGTGCGGAGTTGGGCCTCAGAAGCTGTGAGTTTGTGCTATTGCATTACTTATATCCATATATATATATATACAGAGAGAGAGAGAGAGAGAGAGAGAGAGAGAAATATTGAAAAGACTTGACTGCAGACTCCAGCTAGTACGCCTTTCCCGACTAAGGACTTGGGCCGCGCTCCCATCTACGATGCAGCTTGCGCGGGTAATCGCCAGATCGTCAGCTACCTGCTCCTTGGTCCTAGTTTGGGAGCAGCACCTATGGCTCAGGTGCTGAGGATCACGGATTTCAGCTTCAGAGCTTCAGGAGTTTCGGGGGTCTGCATAGTGTGTTCGTGGGATTCTGCTGCCAAAGCTGGGCTGCCCCGATGATCCTGCTTTGTGTTCTCTTGAGGCTCGAATCTACGATTGGGGCACCCAAATGAGAGGTGCCCCATATCACTGCCAGCGTAAACTTGTGCACTGGAACGGTTAGGACAACCTTTGGAGCCCCATCGTGGCTTTATGCAGGGACTGCCCCAAAGTACGAGCCCTTGATGCACCTAGCCTCAAAGTCCTCAAAGAGTTTATGCTTGTAGATCTTATAGCTCCCAAGATGACACTTTCTTGAGACATCACATCCCCAACTCAAAGACTTCAAGCCTCAGGGCTCCAAGCCCAGACCCCTGAAAACCCTAACCCCCTCCCCCCAAAACACAACCACCCCCTCATAAAAAACAGGCGTCCAAGCCCCAAGCACTGCGACCTCCTCACCCCAAATCCTAAACCTCTAAGCCCTAAGGCCCTAAACCCTAAACCCCCAAATGCTAGTTTTCACGTTGTTTTGTTTTTTCTTCTCTACTTAAGCCCTTGCCTAAACTCCTAGTAATTATCCCCCTCCATAACCCCTATAGTAGTCCCCTATGTAATCCCTTGCATAACCCCCCCTAAGGAGTCTATATTATTGCTCATATATGATATTCCGTTAAAACAGCTCCAGTGCTCGAAGCTCCAGGATCCAGCACGGCGTTGACGTCGACGCCCGGGACTCTGATGGCCGCAGCGCGCTGTTCGTGGCCTGCCATGTGGGCTGCCTTGGCACCTTGAGGCGCGTTTTAGCCTGCTGTTTCGGGTTTAGGGCTTGGAGTTTGCGGGGCCATCTATAGTCCCCTAGTGGAGAATCAAACCAAATGGACAGTCAAATGAAAACTGATACGGAAACTGTGATGGTAGGGATGCATGTTATATATAGGGTTCAACAATGGAGAAGACGAGCATGAAGAATGACATGTAAGCTAGGAATCTATGTGGCCTTTAGGGTTCACGACTTATAGGGCCAATGGGGGAGTGGTTCCTTATAACACTTCCTATATCACCCGCGGTAATTTCAATAGTACTTATACATGCCATGCCCTACTTTTCCTTAAGCGCCAATATGTTTGGGTTGGATATACCGCCGTCAGGGTTAGGATAACAGTAGGGTCTAGGGTTTGCTCTCGGTTTGGATGGAAGGCAAAGTAAGTCCCCTCCCCCGAATAATGCCCCCCCACCCCTTAGTAATGAAATGTAATGAATATTCACCCCCATTGGATTATGGTAGTATCACCCATTGTGTAACGGTTCTGCGTTGGGGTTGTTGGGGTCGTTCTTAGTGGAAGCTTTGGGACTTGGGCGCGCTTCGGGGTTGGAGAGTTGCACATCCTAAGTGCTGCGAGATTTCCTCCATTCACCCAGGTAATGACCAAAACAACTCCAAAGAGCGAGACCGCACAGATTTTGTTCACTTCATCCAGGGCCCAGGTTTCATCTGCTGGTACAAGCATCATTGAAGCTTCATCTTCAGCTTGCAAGTGCAGCCTGCGCCACCCCTCTTTTCAGATCTGAATGCATACAGTGTCATACAGGTTGTCCGATCCATGAATACAAGCCCCTCTCCCCACGCTCCCAAGCTTTGAACGCAAAGCTGTTACCGCAGCAGTGGTACAGTGGTACAAGGTGCCTGCTTGACGCTGCGGCAAACGCAGACACCAGCGACAGGGAGGGCTGGACGCCTTTACACATAGCCAGCTGGAATCTTTTCTCGCGATTGGGTTTGGGGGTGAACCATGGAGACAGTTAAGCTGCTAAGGGTGTACAATTCAGGGGTTGGGGGCTAGGCGGAGTCAGCAGGTCTGCAGGTAGAACTAGCTTCTACGTTCCGCTTCGCTGATTGCAATACGCCCTACATCCTGTTCCCGCCCTCTTCTGTAATATCAACATGCATGTGAGGGCAAGTCTGGCTACAAGTGGGAGATCCGCGTGCTCGCCAGTTGTTTGACATGGTAGGCGGGGAGTATCATGCGAAAATGTAACATTGTCTTAATCTGCGAGCCCCAACAACCTCAAGGACCTAAGCTTAAGCGTCCACGCTTATACGTTGAGGAATGGGCGTCTGGCCGCTATCCGCCTCCTTTGCCATGTGGTGGCTCGGTCTTTGGCCTAGGCGGCAACAAGCCTTGCAATTTCTGAGCTCTAGGAGTGCTAAAGATATGGGGTCTTAAAAGGTACAGCTTCTTCAACCTTCCGACAAGCCCTGAGATGTAGCTCAGTGCTGCCTCAAGCAAGTAGATGCCAGGAGACTGTGGAATGAGCATAATCATACCGAGTCATACTGTTGATGAGTAAAACTGTACGGCTGTAGGGTCTTAAGTGGTATTTTCCCTAAATGGGAGGACCCCGACATAGAGCCCTATGGACTAAAATCCTTCTTATAGGGACCCCAAAAAGGTACCCCTAATTTTAGGAAACCACCAAGTAAAGTGCAGCGCGATCGTTCCAAGGATTTAGGACCATGCATGATTTTTGTACATTTACTGTTCATATCACATCAATGCCAGGTCACGGGGTTTACTTTCGATCCCATGCAGTGACATTGTCAAAAGTGGGTGTTCCTAAGTTATGTTGGGGTTTTATTGGGGTTACATAGGGATAATGGAAAAGAAAATGGAAGCTACTATTTACAGTATATTGGGGCTGTATATGGATTCTATGGCATATCACTCTGCTGAAAGGCTCCATTGACGATTGATCAAAAGTTGAGGCTTAACGAGTGATGACGCCACGACTGAGATGGAGCTGTTTCCCAGAATATGTCGACCTAAGCAGCTGCTAGACAATCTCGGTCAGTGCATACCTTGGACCACAGTACAGTGCTGTTATATACTTATTCTGCAACCTATAAAAAATTCCAAGCCCAGCTAGGGGCCCATGCTTAGGACCCAGAAATAAGGGAAACCCTGAGCCCTAATCCGGGTAGCGGTCCATACACCTCAGGTGAGCCGCAGAGATCGCTTGGACCACGACGGCCGGAGCCCGCTCCTGGTAGCGGCTGCCAATGGCCAAGCCGAGGCTGGTCAACGCTAGTGTGGGCTCTACCCAGAAGCGGCTCCTGTGCAATTTGTTTGGTTTGTTATGTGTGTTTTGATCCTTTTTGGCCAAGGCTTCTCACCTACCATCCCCAAAAAAGAGCCAACTACTGATATAAGAATCCTGCATCCTGCACGACCGTAGTATACTACAGTACCATAACTCCCAAGGTAGAAGGTACCGGGGGTCATAGGGATTTTTAGTATCCAGTGTACTGGCCTTCCACTTTCCAAGCTTAACGAACCTCAACCGTAATCGAGCTATCAGCTCTCCTTTTGGGCCTGCATCCAGGCCGTCCGCTGTCTGATACAGATGGGCGCAGACCGGAACAGGCCCCGAAGCAGCAATGTGGCAGCTTCTTTAAAAATTAGGGGTACCATTTTGGGGTTCCCATAATAAGGGTTAGAGTATTTTGTGGTTACACTGGGGCCGCCAATTTAAAATGTGGAAGCTACCATGTTATAAAGCAGGCTACAGGAGGATCCTGATGCTTGGGTAAATCAGGAAAAGAGATTTCAAGAGCTGGCTGCGGGGTGATGCGGGGAGAGTCGAATCTAATGAGGGCTTGCGAAGTTGCGAGGCATTTCTACAGTGGGTTTAGGGTCTAGGGTTTTAATTTCTAACGCTACTGACCTGCAATTTTAGGACTTGCTTGACATCTTGGGGGTTAAGAACCACTGTAGGGCTGAAATGATTACAGATCTTATGGTTCCTGGTTCCTTACGTAATCGTGGCATAGAATAGAGTACCTCAAATAGCCCTCAACATGCTAACCTATGCTAGATTGTACAGTAGCCCCCCTGGATAGACCCAATTTCCATTTCACTTTCCCTTTTCTTTTCCGTTTGATTCTCCATGCTTGTGGTAAGATTCTTATAGAAGACCTATATTGCCCCTATATCAACCCTTTAAAGGCCTCCGTGTGACGTATCACACCAGCCACCAGCAAGACCGACCTGTAGGAACTTTTGAGATCTGAGGGCCCTGGGCCTTGTGCCGCAGCCCTTGAACCCTTGCGGACTTTCGACCCCAACTACCTACGGGCTAGACATAATAGTTAGGGGAAACTTACTACGAAGCTGTAGGTAGTTGGAGTCACAGGTAACGGGTAGACTCTTGGAATTCTAGATGCTGGGTAGCTCAGTACAAACGGGACATGAAGCAACATGACCCTTCGCAGGCCTGTTACTAGCCCCTTAGCTCGTTTAGCTTGCCACCTCTTCAAATCCCCCCCCCCCTCGTGCAAGTCGGAAGCCGCCGTGCCTGTGAAATGGCAAGTTCTTTCACAAGAGCAAAGAGCCGACCAAGAATCTCTGAGGTGGACCCCCGGAAGCCTCTCCCAATCCCCCAAAGCCCGAGGATCCCATTTTTACCACGAAAAAATTCGTAATCTGCACCCAAACAACCGCTGGTGGTCCCCGAATGAAATGTGGGTGCCTTCAATATTGGGGGCCATATTGTAGCAGACACCCAGAAAGGGGCTGTAACTCTGGCAACCTCTCATATATTCCTATAAGACCTTTAAAGAGTCCCCGCTGAGGCCTGACAGCAGTGGTCGAACGCCTCTCCTTGAGGCCCCGGTGAGGTTGAACACGAAAAAGCGAGGGCTCAGGATTTAGGTTTAGGGTTGAGGGCTTACAGCTTGGGATTTGGAGTTTGGGATTTGGTGTTGGGGACACTGAATCAGGGAGCTCTGCCTCCAGCAGCTCACCCTATCTCAAGAGCAATCTTCTCGAAAAGTAGCACAGGGTCCGCAACATCACAAAGCCTACCGGACCGGCAGACGCTTGCCCAGGCAACCGCCAGGTAGCGCAAGGCGTGGGTAAAGGCCTATTAGCCCGGGGCTGTTGAAGCACTTTCGGCATGTGGTTCCGGAACCGGACATGCGCAAAACCTTGACTCGAGAGATGCTCACCTGGCGCCGTAGTGGACAACCTGGTCACGCCCACGTTCTTAGAGCAATCGACATAGCTGGCCAACGGTTCAAAGTTGCCGAGCAAGGCGAGATTGACGAGAGGATGGAGCTCGCCGCTGCAGAGAAGCCGACATAAACGTCCCGCCAAGAAGTAAAGCAAGCAGCCAACGAGCCTCTAGGAATACAAGCGCCAAAACCAAATGATGGCAAGCACCATAAGTGCCTGGTTGGACTGCCGGAAAAGGGAGAAGAAATGGCAAGCCGTGGGGGAAAAACGGCAAAGAAACCCAGCCAATCGGCGACCCAAACAAGCTGAAGTGGAGCAACCCCAGTTGTCTGTCCGCTAGGACATGATGCATCTATTGCCGTTGGGCATTGTAAGCTTCCGAGCTTCAAGATTCGAGTCTGAAAGCTGCATATTGGCGCCTGGGGGTTGTTCAACTTGCGCCGCGACATCATGCCAATATCACCTGCGTGCATGGCTTCATGGTTTCTACCAAGCTTTGGCCTTGAGATGACAGAAAAGGGCGCAAGCGAATGAAGTCCTCAATATAGTAGTTTCATGTAGTGTCCATGTCCTGTTCCATTCCTTAATACCCAACCCCCCAAAATCTTGCACAGTAATTTCCATATTCTTTTCCATTCTTCCATTCTTTACAAGCCATAGTTAGGTTAAAAAGCTCAGTACATAATTCCTGTGTATGACCCTTACATAAACCCAGTTTCCATGTAATTTTTCATGTTCCTTTCCTATTATTCTGTATCATAGACATGGTAGTTTCCCAAAA